AAGAATAAGAAGGCTGGAAGGAAAAAAAGAAGGCAGGGGCTCAGACGATGCTGGGCATCTTGTGGCACAGGGGGCTCAATAGGTATTATTGAAGTAGGAAAGTGATAAAGGATATTAATAAAGAAATTAAAGGAAAAGTACTTTGCATTAATATAGTTACTGATGGTATAACTTGTTTAAAACATGAGTGGATCCATTATATCATAGTAAAGGGGCAAAAGAACTAAGAAGAACACTGAAAGTTACTATCCTGGTTACCTAAATTTTCTTCCACCTAATTTTCAAAGAATGAGGGAAAAAACTGCTTTTACTTTTGGCACAAGGAGACTATAATAGGACATGTTTACTCACCTGTGATTTATTAAGACTCTAAATTACTCCAAATTATTCATTTGTTATCAAGGTTTTAAAGGGGACAAAAAAAGTTCATGTAAAACATTTACTATTATGTCAAACAGAACTTTTTTTCTCTACTTTCTTCTTATCATTATCTTCACATCATGCTCAGCAGTAAAAGATCCATGAGGCCATCTCTACACATCTTGGAGAAGAAAAATGGGGAGAGGAAGGCTCTTCTTTCTTTTGACATTTCTTTTTAAGATGTCTAAGAGCAAAAGGCTAGGTCCAAATAGGAACAGATGGATTTAGCAAGAGCTGAAATCTTGCAACTCTTATTCAGCTAGCTATCTCTGTACTTCATTGGAGTTATTTGCACAATGAACAGTGGTGGTCTTTTTTTGCGAGGCTTGGGGAGTTATCTTTGGCTCACTTTAGTAGGTTTTAGCAAGACAAAATGTCCACTGAAATCTTATCCTTGTGCCAAAACCAACTTTCAGGATGTTCAATTTGAACCAACTCAGATGGAAAGTCACCTCAAAACAGGATCTTAGTGAAACTCTGAGCACGGTGCTATAAAAACTAACGGGTGCTCAGGTAAAAAGAAATGCTTATGCAAAACTGTTCCCTACAACATGTCGTGTTTAGAAAACATCACTCAAAGTTATATTTACTATCCCATAGTTTTGATTGCATAAACACCAGTCTTTCTTTTCATAGATAATTCTTAGGCAAAATTAGACACTGCTGAAATGTCTTAGAGTATAAATAACGATGAATGATGCCTTCTTTAATCCTTATTTGAAGTTATGGAGACTTCAGCATTAAGAAAGCCATAAACAGTTGTGAATAACCAGCAACAAAACACCAATAGTCCTGAAGCTTAAGCACTTAGTCATGATATGGCCCATAGTAAATGATCCAGGGAAATCAGTCCCATTCTTTTCCATATCAGTACCTCCCTGTGATCTTCAAGCTAGGAAAATATGGAAAGGGAAGGGAATGACTTGCTTGTTTCTTGACATGTGCTCTGAACCTGTTGGAAAGTGCTGTCCTCATGCTGAGGTCCCAAATCATTTCAGATTTAAAGGAAGCAACATTGAGAGCAGCACAGCACAAACTTGGGAAGTAACTAATCTGGCAGATCACCTTCACATGAGAAGTACATCAGTTTTGTAACTGAACATATACAATGGTAACACCAAGGCCTTCAAACTATGTAGAAAAAAAAGTTGTTGTAGCTATTTTCATCATACAAACCTTTGGTATTCAAAACTTCTATCATTTTTTCCACAACTGAACAAAAAATAGTGCAACCCAACTGTGTGCATAACACTTGAAAGCTTCAAAGATTTTCTAAGTAAGATGCCAGTAAAAGGACAGCAAAGTACGAAACCTTCATGAAGATGGATGGTGAGTAGAGGAGTTGTTACCCCAAGGATTAGTTCTTATTTTGCCTCAAAGTTAATTTAGAAACTTATTCTTCAAACAACTGCTGCGATATCCTGAATATATCTCTGACTGTGAGTAAATCATTTTAACTGGAGCAGTAGTAGTAAATCCTAACAAAACATTAATTATGTTTTGCTAGAGGGCAAAGGGTACAAAATATGTTTTTCCTCTTTTAGAGACACCACAGCTTTTCTTCAGTGCAGTGACCGCAGCCAAAATGCATAGAGTTGCCATATTTAGTGCATTGTCTTTCAATAGCACAGTTTTCTGATATATTTTTTTTTAAGCCAGAAGTTTCTGAGTTTCTTTGTAAGGAAAGTGCTTCTGTAAAGATAGTCTGTTCTCCTTGCATTTGACAACTAGATACGCATGCCAGAAATCTTTGCCAGACACTGCTTAATGTGATTAAATAATTAAAAAATATAAATATTCCAATTATTGACTAGCTATTTTGTTTCAAAACTGCTAAAAGAAGACTGACAAGCAACAAGGGATGAACAGATAAACATACAGCATAGCCTCAACAAGCCTGCTGCCTGCCTTGAAATAGTGCAGGGAGCATGCACTGCAATCCAATTATTTTCTACTAAAAGACATGTATAGAACTAGCAGCAGCTGCACATAGGTTCTATCTGTTTCTTATGCTGGAATCTAAGTTTTAAAAGCATGCCTGGAGTGAAGCAGAACCTTTTGTGGAAAAATGCAGGATTTCCCAGTACACTGAACGTGCCAAATTTCTTCATGGTGGCAAGGTGGTGGTGATATTGCTCTGGAATGGGAAATTTTATTCCTTCTGCAGCTGTTTTAGTACAGGCTCTCTGCAGATTCAGGTAGGCTTCTCATCACGAATTCCCTGTTTTCATAGCTCTCCCCACAAGGAAAGACAATAAACCTGTGTGCATTCCCTGTGGCTCTGCTACCCAAACATCAAGAATCCCTGATCTACGAGCTTGATTAAGCAAGACAGTAGGTCTGGTTTAGATGAGGTATAAGCTGTGGAATTCTCAGAAAACAGGCTGAAATGGCTGTGAAGCCAGACATGTTTCAATGAAGGAGTCTGTTTTGAATTATGCTTCCTATTAGCGGCAGATTTAAAAATTAGGGAACTAAGGGCAAACCTGGAACTTAACAAGGCTTTAAATAGGCCTGAGTCATAAATCTTACCAACTGTATGATGGGCAGCTCTTCATTGCAACAAGGAGGACTTCAAGGAAAAAAATAAGTAGAAAAAAACCCCTATAAAATAGGGAGGATGGAAAATAATAAAGGTAAGTTATTCTTCTCATTTTATTTTCTGAAACCCCAGGGAAGCTCATACAAATGGTAAACATATGGAAAAAATTATCAGGAAAAGTGATCTTAAAACAAAGACTACAACAGAGTTCAGGTGACACCTTTGACTTATTTCTGGAACAGAAATGGATGGAGCTATAAAGTCAACATAAGAAAGCAGGATTAAAATTAACCTGGAGAAGGGCAAGCAAATTAAATTGGAAGCCATTTTCCTGTTCCTCATGGCAGCTTCCCAAAACTGTATGTATGAAATGTGTAATTTAACATAAGCCTGAGGAGCCCTTGTTGTTAACTAAAGGAAATTAATCAAACATATTCTTGAAATAGATGAGTAGTGGGTATTTATACAAACACAAAAAGAAAGATGTAGATATACACATAAGAACCCAGATTCACATTCAGGTTTATTTTGAAATTGGAGAACTAACATAGGAATGATGTGCAACATTATGCAGGTCAGTTAACTGCTTCACTTTTAATCAAGATGGCCATAAAATCAGGTAATAAAGCTGCAATGCTTTGAAAACCCAGATGTATTTGAAAAGAATTGTGCTATATAATCAAAAGGGATGTGAGAGGTCAGGAGAATCATATAATCTAACACTGTGTCTACAGTGCAGATTTCTGCGGGCACAGCTACATCAACCAAAGAAAGGAACTGTTTAATATCAGACTGATACAGATGTACTGCCAGCTGGGATTAATATAGGTGTACTGGTGCAAAGGAGACATTTTATAAATAGTATTTTTTTTCCCATGCCTTTTTTATTTTTTTATTTTTTTTTCCTACACTGGTAGGATATACAGATGTGCTCCAACACAAACATTTTCTTTATTAACAACACAGATATAGCCAAAACCATCAAGGTCACAGAAGCACATGTTAGGAGTTTACTTGAGCCATTACTACACTAAACACATGACATCACTGATGCATTCCAATACAGATGACTAGTGATTTGCTGGCAAAATATAACACAGCTGTCCCTGTGAGCAAAACAACCCTTCTACAAAGTTGGCTCCTATTCAAAGCTGGTCCAGCTGTGTTGCTCAGTGACCACACCTCTGCCCACCACCAAGAGATCTATCCCAAGCACTTTCCATTTCTTTATGTGTGCATGTCATTTCCTCTCCTCAGGTTACCTGGCCTTACTGTGCCAGCTGCAGCTGTTGGGACACAGGCAGAGCTGAGGCAGGGTTGTGATTTGCTCTCTACAACTATCTGAAAGGAGGTTGTAACAAGCTCAGTGTTGGCCTCTTTTTGCAGATAATAGATTTAAGTTGGACCAGGAGAGGTTCGGGTTGGATATTAGGAAAAAAATTATTCTCTGACAGAGAAGTAGCGGTGCCAATCTTTACCGCCCTTCACATCCACCAGCCAAGCCACAGGCATGGCTCAGCCCACTGCCGGCTCCTAACCATTCCTGTTCGTAGAGCCGGAGGGAACCCGCCCTCAGCTTAGGAAGTACGGGACAACAAACGGACCAATCAGAGAGCGATTTCCGGGCCTCTCATCCAATAGTCAACCTCTCGCGTGCCGCGGGGCGGAGAGGAGTGGACGATCACGGCTAAGCGCCATGCTCGGTTCTGGCAAGAAGAGAGCGTCCGCACGGCGTCCTCACGCAACACGACTTCCGGCACAAGTCACGTGGACGGCGATGCCTCGTGGCGGGGCGTTGCTACGGGGGACACCCAGCAGCGGCTGTAAACATAGGGACGGCGGAGGCGCACGCGCGGCTCTAGGGGGCGGTACGCGGCGGGCGGGCGAAGCCCCGCTCCCCCGGTATGAAGCCCCGCCTCGTAGCGCGAAACCCCTTTTTGCTCGAAGCCCCGCCCCGGCGGCTCTAGGCCGTGCCGTTGCGGCCGCGGGGCGGGGTTGCCGCTTCCTCCCCGGTGTGGCCGAGGCCGGGGCACGGCCGAGGCGAGTCGCCCGCGGGGTGTGCCCGCCGCCCGCAGCATGCACGGCGCCGCTATCCCCGAGGACGTCTGCGGCCTCCTGGCAGGTACGGCGAACGGAGGGAGGGCAGGAAGGAGGGAGGGCTTCCCGGGGGGCGGGCGATGGGGGGCGGGCCATGACTGGCCGGTGTGGGCCGGGGCAGCCCCCGGCGCTTGGTAGCGCCCGCTCCGCGCTCCTCGGGCGGCTTCCTCCTTCTTCCGGGACGCCGCCGCCGCGGGCACTAATGCTCTGCAGCCGGAGCGGTGCGGGTGGCCCGGCTGCCGCCTCGTTCCGTGCCTGTTGGCGACGGCGGGAGCGGGTGCGGCGTCCGTCGCTCAGCCCGGTCGGTAGGAGAGCCAGTACTCGGTCGAAAAGCCCCGCGGTTCCGTGCTGGAGGCCGGCGGCGTCGTGGAGCGCCGAACTGTTAGTCGGTGTGCCCGAGCTCAGGGCCGGGCTCGCGGCGTGGCCGCGCGGCTACGATGTGGCTGAGCGCCGCGAGGAGAGGAGAGGTACTCGTCGCCCCGGCAGTGCCTTAGGAGGCGCTTCGAAGGCGTCAGAATTTCCCAGTGAGCGGGAGAATCTCTCTTTTGAGAACTTCTCTTTCTGGTACGGGAACTTGCACAGTTCTGTCAAAGCTGTTCAAGTTAGCTGTGCTTCTGAAAAGCTTGTCTTTGGAAGGAGTGCTCGGCTACCAGGCCGGGCACCCCCTGGAACTTGGTGCAGCTCCTCGCCTTTGGGCACAGTTCAGTTCTTAAACGCATTGGTGGTAAGAGTTGGTGCTGAACTGCTTTGTTCTTATCTTGCATTCTTATCTTGTAAGTACCTCTGCCAGCTCTCCTGAAGGGCTGTAGTAACCACTGACTGTAAGTATGTTGTTTGGAGATCACATTCTCTCTGTAGTAAAACCAACGGGAAATGCCACTGGAAGAAAAGGAGAGCTTCTGCTGACTTCTTATCGTGGGCTGGGTTCCTAATTAATAACAATGAAAAGGTTAGCCTTAGAGGCTTTTACCTAGCCCTTGTAGTTTCCATGGTGTTAAAGTATTTCCAACTTGGGGTCATGTGAAGTTTTCATTTGTGTAAGAGCTACTTCACTTGGTGAAGTTTCTCTCAGAAACTTCTGGAGGAGGATGGTATCATGCAGATGATAACTACGTGGTAACTCCAAACTGCATCTCCCCTATGCACCTGGCCCTGTGCTCAGTTTCATCCAGTCTGCTGTGGAAAGAGCAATAAAGAAGTTGGTGTTCCAAAGTGGAGGTGGCAACCCCTGCTTTCCCTCAAGAGGGGGTGTGCATAAACTCATTGCAATCAATAGCCCAGGTTATACATGGGTATCCCATGGTTGTACAGTGGGTGCAGCTTTTCTGGAAAATTAAGACCATTTCATCAGTACTGTCTATAATACTGAAGTCAGTAGAGTGGGATGATTTACCAGTGGTCTTTAAATCTTTTTCATTATTACGGTATCCCAGATGCATAATAAGTACCTGTAACTGTAACAGAATTTTTCACTTAACTTACATTCACAAGCAATTTTGTTTTGGGACTCAATGCAAAGCAGAAACCTAGCAGAGTGGAGATAGTGAGGAACGAAAAATGGTTTGTAACTTTAAATCCTTATTTGCAGAATTATCAAGAGGAAACAAATGTAGGGATAACTGTGGTTATGCAATGTAAAAATTCAATGATCCTATTCTGTTTTCAAAGAATAAAGGTTTACTTTATAAAGTTAGTGTGTTAGCCTCTCTTTTTTTTTTTTTTTAATGTTACAAGAAAAGTTGTGTGGAAGTTAGAAATTAGAGTAGTTCAGTCTCTATGAGCATTCTGGATACACTTAGGTTCTGGTAATCCTTAATTATACAGTGCCCTGCTTCTTCTAGCCCAAACTATTAAAGTACTGAAGATTTATAGTAATGGAGGGAGGAAGAGAGCTGTGTAATGGCTTTACTATTCATTAAGCAACTCCTGTACGATACAAAGTCTGCAATGAATAGATACTCATTTCTGCATGCTCGTCTTCAAGCATGCTTCTTAATGTATTATTTTAATGGCTCACAGGTATTGATTCAACACCTCTTTGATATGAGGGAATATTGTTTTCCCGTCGCTAAAATTAGTGTAATAAACAAGATGTGATCTGGGGTCACAAAAATAATCAATGGTGGAACAGAAGTGGAATTGAAATTCACCTGCCTCCATACTGCCCTGGCTTCTCTAGAAAATAACACTGGTCAGATGTCTCTATTCAGTGGCCATTAGAAGTGCCTGGCACTTTTTCATATCTGTCAAGAACATGCAGTTAGTGCCTAGCACCATGCATCCTATTTTAACCCAGTTTTCACCTGGCAACAAGGCAGTTGCAGATTAGAAATCTCTTGAATATTGTACTGTTTCTCACATCCTCAGTCTTTTGCCTGTTTTTTCCAACTGCAGCAGCAAGCAGAGCAGTGATCATATGGACTTCTTTATCCCTGCTTAGCCTTGATTGATCGTTGGAGTAGGGTCCCCCCCCCATGCTGAACAAGTAGGGGTCCTACTGGAAAACATGCTAAGTGCTCCTGGAGTTAAACATGGCGATAATGGGAATAAACACACCAGGGGATGAATTAGAGTTGCACAGGAAGCTTTCTGACTTGAGAGTGCTTTACTTTGAACCCAAACAATATTATATCTTTAATGCAAAAACAAATTCTGTCACACGTGCTGGCAGGGTCACTGTGGCTGCATGTCAGTGGCGCTGAAATGTTCCAGGCAGAAGCACAGCTTGAACTCAGGGCTAACCACATCACTTGGAAGAGGAGGAAGCTGTTTCTGTGAAGTTGAAGGGGGAAGGTCAGTGAGGCAATGAGCTTATTGCAGAGGTTGTTGGGATTTCACAATCCCGAGCTCTCTCCTCTGCCTTGCTTAAGTAGCAGGAGGGGAAAAACTGGGGGCAGAATCAGGGTCCTCTGGTGGTGGGTTGAACTTTGAATGGAGGGAGAAAATCATTTTGCAGCTTTCTTATCTCCTGCTTCACACAGGGAGGTGTGAGGTAGTGTGTGTGTCATTTCCTTCCATGTCTCTGTACCTTCTAGATGATGTCTTCACAATTTAGTGGGGGAGGCCTACTGTGCCTCTTCTTCTTTTGAAAAGGTGCCTTCACCTTCAGTTGTTTGTTCAGAATCTTTTGGTGGGTGTTTGGCAGAGTGGGATGTTGCTGTGTTTCTTTCTTGCAGTCCAATTATTATTGGTTATGTATGTTGTTGAAGGCCTGCTTGTTTTTATTTTTCCTTGCTACTTGATGCACACAGTAAGCTTTGGCTTTCCTTAGCTGAGAGAGATTTCAGAGGCTGCTTTCTTCACCAGAGGCATATTTTTTTTCTTCCCATAATGTAAATCAGACTGGTTCCTTCAGTCGTTTTGATTGGGATGTTGTGGAGATTGAGTTGAAGGAAATGAGAATAGTTTTTAAAAGTTTTTGATATTGCTATGATCTGTGTATATGTTATAGCATTTACATCTTTTACATCTTTTTCTCTAACCTTTGTAAGATCCATAATCTGTTCTCCTTTCACATTTCACAAAGTTTCTAGTTTCAATCTTCTGCTTTCATAGACTAAAAGTTTTGAAGATTTTTCTTAACTAGGAAAATGGAACAAAGCTTTCTTTAGCCCATATAGAGTTGGGTATAAGGTTCCATATCTGTTTTTTCTTCTTCGTCTTCAAAAAAATCCCCCAGCAACCCAAAGCTGAACAAAAACCTCTCTTCTTGCTGTAGAGACTGTTTCCACCCAGCCATCATTCAGTTTCTTTAAATACATAGTCATATTGTCCAGATTGCCTTATTTCACTGTGACTTCTCTAAATTTGTGCTTGTATTAGTATTTTTGTACCTGCTCGTTTAGTTATATCCTGAAAACAGCGTGCAGAACTGAGCAAGATGAGAAAGCTATGAGATGGTGGATCCAGTGCATAATTTGAGAAAGTTTTGCTTCCCTTTCATTGTTGTGCACTACACTAGTTCTGTTTACCTCTGATGTCCAGAAGAAACTAACAGTCCTTTTCGACCTCCTAGTCAGCTGTTGCTGGACCTGCTCCTTATACTCCTGTGGTAAGAACAATCACCTATGGACACTGTAGCTCTTCTTCATTGCCTGGCTCATTTTTTTTTTTTTGTTTTAAAGGACGGTCTTGTTTAAAACTTACCTCTTCTATGGTTTAAAGTATCCTTTTCACATTTCCTTGGCTTTCATGAATGCCTGTGCTTGCTGAAGAATCTGAATTTGCAGGATAAACCAGAGTGATTATAGTAGACATCTTCTAAGTAGACAGGTATTTACAGCTCTGGTAATATATTTGTGTTCGAATAGTAACGGAATAAGAATAGAAACAGCGAAGTGAAAAACTGCACAGAGGCATTCCTGGTAAGAAATAACCTCCAGTGATTTGAAACATAGTTCAATTGTCTCTGCCATAAATTTGAGAGTAAGTGTCATATATGGGTGATAAAAATGGCATAGGCTATTTTTTATATACTCGTTATTCACTTAGTTTGTCTTTTTCAATTAACGTGGAGTCTATCTTTCTCATCTGACTGGGTTTACGTTTCTTTCATAATCATATGTCAACAAACCACAATAGATGCAGCATAATGTAGCATACAGTGTAAATCTTTGGGTTAATCCTTAACATTTTTTATTATAGTTCATTTGGAATCACTTTGTAACTTGATCATGATTTGTACTGGTGTGGTTTTTTCAGGATAAGCTTAATGTGTTACAGCTTGGTCTTTTTTCACCTCTTTAATGGAAAGAGATGATGTTTGACTACTTGGTCAAAGAGATTATAGTCACTGATGATAATTTTATTTAATTTAAGAGCTATCTCGTTTTTACTTTTATGTTTACTTCATTTGAGGAGTCTTAGCAGCTTAGGTGTACTTCTGGTTTCTAAATCACTAACAGAAATTGTTGAGTGTCAGTGTTTATCAGTGCATTCACTGTTGGTGGCAACAAGGCCAAGTAGCCTTGCTTTTGGAGATCAAAGGCACAACAGTTTTCAGAGGCATTCCTTTCCAGGACTTTG